ATTATTCAAATATAAAACTTTTGACAACTGTTGTAGAATGTTGTAAAAAGTTGTAAAAAAGGTTTCGATTTCTTTTTTCTAACAATAATACAAAAGAAAAACATAAATACATTTTCAATAAAATATCAATAAATAAAGAACATTTGCCGTTAACTAAAACAAATTTCTAACAAAGCCTAAACATACATAAAATAAAATTAACATTTCTTTAATAGACGTAAAACATGAAGAGAACTGGCAATTACAACAGAAACTGGCAACAACTTGTAAAACTAATAAGCCCAATGTAATTGAAATTATATCAAAGATTTTAAAAGTTAATTTCTAGGAATGTAAAATATGAATAGATCACAAACACAGCAACAATAAAATGTTTCAACTGAAACTATTAATTGCAACCATCAAAATTAGCAGTAACAACAAGCGAATACTGTAAGAAGAAAAATAATGAGTAATTACACTGAAAGACAATTAAACAATGAGCAGCAAACAATACAATAAAGATAGTTATGCAAAATATAATTAAATTATTTTTTCTCTAATTTCTTTTNGTAACAACAAGCGAATACTGTAAGAAGAAAAATAATGAGTAATTACACTGAAAGACAATTAAACAATGAGCAGCAAACAATACAATAAAGATAGTTATGCAAAATATAATTAAATTATTTTTTCTCTAATTTCTTTTTTCTTTTTCATTTTTTCGTCTTTTCTTTGATTTTCTTCTTTTGTCTTTTTCTTTTTCACTTTTCTTTTTTTGAGTTTTTCTTTTCCATTTTTCTTTTCCGTTTTTCTTTTCCGTTTTTCTTTTCCGTTTTTCTTTTCTGTTTTTCTTTTCTATTTTATTTTTTTCCTTTTCTTTTTTTAGTTTTTATACTATTTCTTTTTTCCAATTTGTAAAAAAATTTCAACTCATTAGTAAGCAAACAAAAATCACGTACCATTGTTAATAAGCAATTTTAATAAGCAAGTTGAAGATGTGATTTGTTTTTCATCATCGATCTAATTGGTTTTTTTACCTAGATTTTTCTCACATGGATAAAATTTGAGTATTTCATAAAATTTAAATATTCATAAAGGATTAAAGAATCAATGTATATTATGAAAATATTCATAAAACAACAAGGATCAATTTATATTTTGACTTTTGGTTGTTATTTCTCTTAAGTTGAAGATTGATTTGCAATTTTGTTTTGTTTCTTTTTAAATTTACAAAATACCAAAATCTTATTTAAGACAAATTAATAACTGGAAAGAGTGGTATTATCGATCGATCGATCGATATGGACTGAATTGATACGAAAGACCTCAAAGGGGCTAATTATCGAATTTTATAAAAATAAACACTAAGTCTTATTATTCATTAGTTCCATTAGTTATTTCATTTTTTAATTTTCTATTTTTGTCTTCTCTTATTTTTTTCGTTGTTTTTTTCTTTTGCTTTATATCTTTGAAATTTTGTTTATTTTTAAATAAACAAAAATTTGAAAGTCAAAGAAGCAAAGAAAAATCGGAATTTGGAGATGAGACGGGAGACGTCTCGCAACAATTTCATCGGCCGCGGAAAATCTAGCTCTGGGTGTCTTTGGCTTAGTTTTGGCGTGACCTGATTTGACTAGGATTGTAGGCGTTCTAAATTACAAATGAGATTGGAAGAAATATGGGTGAGATTACTTGTTGTGTGTCAGATTATCATAAAGAGTTTTACTTGCTTTGATTGTTCGTGAACTCTGACCTCAGTACGATGAAAATTGAATATGTTGATACGGTATGCATTGAATGGTTTTGCCTCCTGATAATGTTCAATCATTTTATCAAAGTATTCCATTTGAATCCTAGTGATTTTAGTTTCTTGTAGGCATTTTAAATAGAATCAACCAATCAAGATGAGAGCTCTAAGAATTTATACGAAACCGATCGGCGACTGACAACGTACGATGAAGGTGGATGTACTCATGTTCTTAATGAATATTCACATTTTTTCATTAACATATTAACAAATTAAGCAAATAGTGAACAAAAGAGAAAAAAATAAACTTTTGCTTCAGTTTAAAGAGATTTCTTTAGAGTGTTACATATTTGTTACATATTTCGCATTTCCTCGGTTCAGAGATAAAATAGAAATGAAATTTCATTGATTGCTACCTTAGATCGTTCTTTTTTTTCTTTGTTCATTGTCACACTGAGAGATGATGTGATAATATTACTAGTTTTGTAAAAATAATAATTACTTTATTATTAGCAATTTCACAGTACTAACAGTACTTATTTGATATCAGATACTCATATACATATTTAAGCATGGCATCTATTGGTAATTTTTTGGTAAAATGGTTACTTGTGGTTGCTTTAGTTGCAAGTGTGTTTACAATATTTTACTTCACTTCTACTCAAAATGAGCAGGTTGGCATTTTGAGGAAGCTTTCAGATTAGTTTCCAAAGTTTTTATGATAGATTAAATTGCGTTGTTACTTTAGTTATCGTTTTGACATTATTTTTCAGAATTTGGACGTTTATTTAGCTACATTTTTAATATTATTTGTCGTAAATTCAGAATGCTGCTCGAAAATTTCAAGTGGTAAGGGATCTGAAATTTAAATTGAATATGAAGAAAAACGAATCAACAGTTGAAAAATTCGTTCCTGAGACACATCAAGTGAAGAGCAAATCAACTTCAATGGCACCACCTCTGCCGGAAGTATTTTTTTACCATAAAAATCTGAAATTTTCCAATAAACTTAAAGGTATGAAGTAAATCTGGAACAATTTTCAGGTTTGAACTCTGTAAATAAATTACCATCTGTTTTCAGGATGATGATGAATATTCAGTACAAATATTCTATTATCCGTGGTATGGAAATCCAGAATTTGATTATGGAAAGTATTATCATTGGAATCATCGTTTTATTCCACACTGGGACTCGAGTATCTCAACGCAGTATCCAACAGGTAATCATAATTTTTTTGTGTGCCCGAAATTTCCAGTTTTGAAAAGTGTTTTCTTATATTTTAATTTTGTAAAATTCTTTAATTTTAACAGTATTTAATAGACTTCTTGTGAAATATGCAGTTTTATAACAAATGCTTTCCGTGTTTGCAAAAATATATCTCATTCGTATTCCCCACTTTTTGTAGCATAGCAGTGTGCTGCATTGTTTCATTGTATATGTTACTGACAAATGAATAATTAAAGGATTAAATTTCATCTCAGGTTTTCATGTTCCTCCAATGGATATTGGTTCCAGTTTTTATCCATTTTTGGGGCCATATAGTAGCCGAAATCCAGCAGTAATTGAACAGCATATGAAATGGATGTCATCAGCTGGTATAGACGTTGTTATTGTTTCATGGTTTCCTCCAAGACTCGCTGATGAACAAGGTGTGGTAGTTTACTGTTCGCATGCTTCTTGGTGATCGCGAAATCGGCTGCTTCCAAGTGTTTGGATTCAGCTGCTGTTCTTTAAATTATAAGCTTTCTAAGTATTTTAAGAATTAAAAAATCCGGTCCTTTAAGAAATCCGTGGTGGAATTTGTAAGCAATATGATATCTTACAAAATGGAAGTTTTCTATATGACATAGTTTCTTTATTTTTTAAGAATTTTAAGCGAACAACATTGAAATTTCACAATTTTGTTTTTAGGAACCCTAGTTTTCCAGTTGTCCATTTTTTTCAGGGCATCCATGGGATGATTTAATACCCATCTTGCTTGATATTGTAGCAAAGTATCGCATGAAATTATCTTTCCATATGGAGCCTTACAAACATAGGAATGGTGAATCGCTACGTAGTGATATCGAATATATTATTAACAATTATGGTAATCATTCAGCTCTGTATAGGATGAAACGGCCCAAATCACGAAAAAGTAAGTGAATTTATTGTCATAGACCAATATTCTTTTACTTTATTTTTACTTCAACCAAAGATCTTCATCTGAATTTTGATATGAAGAGGATAGATAATTTCAAAAGAATTATATGGTTATAATCTTTAAATCAGTTGCTTAATTGCACTGGTTAGTTTATTTTTATTGATTATGGAAAAAAATTATTCGTCACAATTTTAGTGACTAATGGAAAAAGTAGTCGCCATGGTGATCAGCTGCCGTTATTATACTTTTATGATTCATATCTTGTACCTTCTGATGAATGGAAAAAATTAACTGAACCATCCGGGAAGTTCACTGTACGGGGCAACAAATACGATGTTCTTTTTATTGGCAAGTTCAAATATGTTCTAATTGATAAATTCAACTTTTATTCTTTTCTCTCAAGTTGCAGTTTCTGAATCATTGAGACAGTTCCAAAATTCTGGAGCTTTTGCATTGGTTTCATAGCGGAAAATTAATTCGATCACGATTGATTTTGTTGAGTTTCAGGTCTCTTAGTTAAGTCAGAAGATAGGCACTTACTATTGGCTGCTGGATTCGATGGGATTTATACATATTTCATAGCTAAAGGCTTTTCTTACGGTTCCACTCCATCATCTTGGCCTTCATTGAGCGCCTTCTGTAGGTTTGTGTATTTTAAGAAAATTTAAGGAATACACTAAATTATCAAATTCTTTCATAACTATCAATTATCTGATAGTGAGTTGATAAATGTAGGAAAAAATATTTTAAAATTACATAAAAAAAATAAATTCATCTTTAGATAGAGAGAAGGGAGAGGATGGTGACAAATTAAATGAGCGAAGTTTAACTGTAATTTCAGAGAGATTGTGACTAATTTTCCGTAATTTTTTTTAGGAAAAATGATCTAATTTTCATACCTTCGGTGGGTCCTGGTTATGATGATCGTCGAGTACGACCTTGGAATGCAGCAAATTACAGGGATCGAATGAATGGCAAATATTATGCAGATATGTTTGAAATGGCGCATATTGCAAAGGTATGGTGACAATGTCCTACAAATTGAAAACAAACTAATTTGTTTTATATCTGTAAATTAATGATTCAGTTGAAGCTCGTAACTTGAGTGACCTAACTCTACCAAATAATATTTCACTCAGTCGGACAGGATGATTCCTAGAAAATTGTTAGTATAGTAAAATAATGCATGTCATAAAGGAGTTTGTGAAAATTGCTGGATTCCATCCACTGCTTCTCGGCCTAATTTTTGTCTAAATGGTCCATGTGTTGTAGTAAATCAGGTAGTTATTGGCTTTCGTCGTCATTTCTTTAAATAAGAGATGAGAAAAATCTCTTTTGCCTACTTTGTCTAACACTGCACACCAAAGAGGATTATAGAGTTAATGCTCACCATCAGGAGAATAACGAAAAATCATAAAATCAGTTTGGATCTATAGGAATAAAGAAAAATCGGTGTTTTAAGGCAAATATCATAGCGATAACGTCATTCAATGAGTGGCATGAAGGTACACAAATCGAACCAGCGATACCATTCACTGATAACAACACAGGTTTTGTGTACAGTAGCTATGCTCAGGGACCGGAACAGTATCTTCACCAAACGCTTGATCTTATTAAGAAATATTTTACTGCAATGCATAGAATTGCACCTGAAAAAATTGTTGATATAGTTTAATATTGGTGCTTGAGACATTACTGATTTTATAATATATAGTGTTATTTTTGAAAGTGCTTCACATTTATGTGTTTTGCATAGGTTATTAATATAGTTTTATGTATGTTGGGATTTTCATATTTGCTTAACATTGGAAATGTTCTTATGGATGTTTTGTGCTTCATTCTTAACCCAGAGAAGTGCTATCAAATGTGTTAAGGATTCGAAATTCTTTACATTTTCCTGTGAGAAGTTGTATGAAACAGTAGCGAGAACACTGATTATCAGGAATGGAGAAAAAAATGAAGATGTGGTGATCATTAATCCATCTGAACTTTTATATTAAAACTATTATTTCTTAATAAATTGGATTTTGTATTCAACTAGTTTCCAAATAGAGCGGGTTCTGTAATTTCTGGAATATTAGATCTTCGACGTTGTTAGAATTTATTGTTGATATTGCAATAAAGGTGATTACATTGTGCATTGCTTTAATAGTATTTTTTTACTGACAGTTTATTTTTATTGTGAACATTTGACTATGGAAATATTGTTTAATGAAATGCAGATTAAGCTGATCCCTTTATTCGAGTTAAAATAGACGGTAGTATGGAAGATAGCTAAGACTTCAACTATTTAGCTGACAAATTGTTAATAAACGTGTAGTCCAGCAGTGATTCAACAAATTCTGCAAAGAATACGAAAGCTTTAATTTGAAGAGGCGCAGTAATCTTCCATCTGAAATTAATAACAACCAATCAAGATTATTTGTCTTCAATTCTCTTACAACTACAGGATAAATTGCCGAGGATTTTATTGCCGAAGATTTGGCTCTTAAGATAGAAATTTCAACTCTCTTTAATTTTTTAATTCATTTGCGTATAAACTGAAAGTTCCTTTTGTTTTCAATTTTAGTAATATCAAGTTTAAAACTATGAGTTATTGTATTTTCTGTTGAATTTCTCACCTAAAGATGGTGCATTTCTCTCATTCCATAATGCAACAATAAATTCTAATCAAAATTTAATGTACAATTATTAATAGATCATATTATCAGATGATTATTGTTGATTTATTGCATAGAAAGATATAAATTATCCAATTTCGTCCCTCTCAAATATTAAACAAAATTTGGATAAATTTAAGAATGGAAGCGAAAGAGACAGACACCAATTGCTATCAGTGCTTTCAATGCTGTCAAAAGTGTTAAAGCAGTTTAAAAATAAAGCACTGTTGTTACTAAGATCAAAGTTCAAATTATCTGTGCTACGATCTTGAAAATAAGGAGAAAATCATACTGACCCTGTTAAACTCATCTATTTACCCTTCTAGTTATCTTAATTTATCTTTCATATCTAAAAGATAATATATCATGTTGACAGGACAATACGATCATTTCAGATTTTTCTAAAAGTGATTTAAGAAATTGAGAGAAAAATGAAATTGGATAATTTTTAGTTTTGAATTGAAGAAAAGAAAATGGCTTTAACTAATTGATTGATTATAGAGAACAACGGAATAAATAATAATATATGATGGATGAATTATTTGTGAAATGATTAAATGATAAACAATAATCATCATTGTATTATGCTTACATCAAAATTTGCTAAATATATATTCCACATATAGTAAAGTTTGATTTGGTTGTAAAATTTCTGTCAACATAATTTCAGAAAATAATCTGACGATTGATCATTGATCATTTTTGATTGATTGATGCAACGATTATTATGAATATAAATATATGCAATAATTCACATTGTATACAATCATCCTATCAATCAATAATAGAATGAATTTTCAGAACGATAATCAATTTTTATGATGCATTAATATTTTATGTTAAATTAAAATATTTAATGATAAATTTATCTCAGCAAAACAAATTAATCGATTCTCAAAATTAAATTCTTTATTTGTTCATGTGAATAATTTATATAAAATCATAAAATTAACTAACAACCATTAATTATCAATTGTTAACACTAATTGATAAGAGTTATTAATTAACGATTTTGATAATACTATTAGAATTCTTTATTTCTTTTTTTGAATTTGAAATGAATTTCAATTTACGAACAGCTCTCCTCTAGCTCTCCTTCTTATGATACGATGATTTTCAAATATTTAAGCTTCAAAGGCATATTATTAAATAATACATACTTTTTTCTTTTTCCACAGCAATTCATTTCATCAAATTCAAAATATTTGTTAATGAAATTTTGCTAACAATCCAATAGTAATATACAATAATAAGAAAAGCATTCATTTTTAAATTAAATTTTTATCATATGTTTTTATTAATTGAAATAATTAGTTATTTAATAAATACTACTAACATTACAAAAAAACCATTCTTAATAAGTTGAAGTAAATTTCGTATTTTCGATACATTGAAGTAAATTTCGCATTTTCGATACATTGAAGTAAATTTTGCATTTTCGATACATTGAAGTAAATTTCGCATTTTCGATACATTGAAGTAAATTTCGCATTTTCGATACATTGAAGTAAATTTTGCATTTTCGATACATTGAAGTAAATTTTGCATTTTCGATACATTGAAGTAAATTTTGCATTTTCGATACATTGAAGTAAATTTCGCATTTTCGATACATTGAAGTAAATTTCGCATTTTTGATACATTGAAGTAAATTTTGCATTTTCGATACATTGAAGTAAATTTCGCATTTTCGATACATTGAAGTAAATTTCGCATTTTCGATACATTGAAGTAAATTTTGCATATTGAAGTAAATTTCGCATTTTTAATGAATTGAAATAAATTTTGCATTTTTAATAAATTGCAATAAATTTCGCATTTTCACGTATCAAATGTTCAATTGTTTGAAAAATAATTTTGTATGAAAATCTCAATGATCAATGATCCCATGAAAAGTTTATATTTAAACTTTTGTCAACAAATTTTTGCAAAACATAATTGATTAATATCAACGAAAAACGAAAAAATCACAGCATATATTAATTGCATTGAAAAATTTAGCATTTCTTTTTTTCAAAATAAAATTTTAATTTAAAATATTTTTTTAAATTCAAATTATCAAATGACTTTTTGTTTGGAGATTTTTCATTAAGTTTAAAAGTTTCCAACAAGTTTAAAAGCTTTTCATCAGGTTTAAAGGTTTAGTTACAGACTCCTACGAACCATCATGTTTAAAAGCTTTTCATCAAGTTTGAAGGCTTAGTTACAGATTCCTAAGAACTAACTTTTTTATGCAAATTATCAAATAACTTTCTTCTCTGCGACTCTTCATTAAGTTTCAAAGTTTTAAATTTGTTTTTTTTACATTGTTAAATATGATTGGAAAAATAGATTAATCATATCAACTGTTACAACCAACTCCTAAGAACTAATTTCATGAAGGCAAATATAACTATATATGTGAAAAACAGTATAAATAAAAAAATAAATGAATTATATTGATGGCGATATAGAGTTTTTTCAAACTGCATGGTAACCATGATTGACGAGATTTTTAAGTCAGACATTTTCCGTTTGT